ATGTGTTTGAGTATTTTTATAAATGGCCTTTTATTTTTTGGTCTCAAATTTCAAATAAGATTATAAAAGGGAGTGAATGCACTTTTACATTAGTTAAATTTTTTTTTTTTAAAGATAGGATCCTACTGTGTAGTCCATGCTGGCCTTGAACTTGAGTTCCTCCTATCTCAGCCTCCAGAGTGTTGGGATTATAGGTGTGCATCATTAATTCTGGCTGCATTAGTAATTCTTTTTAATAGTATATATAATATTTTATTATGCAAAACTAATTGAGTATGCTTGTGAGACAAAATCTTATTTCTATGTTCATGATAGTAATATGAAACTAGATCTACATTTTTTTCAGCAACACTGCTTTCCCTCCTCCTACCACAATAATGTCTTTCTGAACAGTCTTAGGTTTACTTTTTAGCTGAGGGCCTGATGACAACTCTTGCCCCCAACTGTCCTGAACTCCCCACTGTGCATTTATTTTATAGGCTGTTTCTCTACTTCTTTATTTATTTTATAGATTGTATCTCATATCCTCTTTGTTTCTGCTATATCAAATTTGCCTGGGTAGCTTACCCGTGGCTCTAAAGCATGACTGCTCATTAAAATCACCTGCCATGCTTCAAACAAAACAATAACAACAAAAAACACATGCCAAGGCTAACATAAGAATCTCTGAAGCACAAGATAGGGAATTAGTACCTCCAGATAATTCTAATTTTGAGTACTGCTGAGGTAAAAGAATGAGATACTTGCTTCAAATGTCACCAAACAGGGCGAGAAGATATTTTGGAATCCGGGCCTTTCTGCTATCCCTAAACTCATAGGCCTAATCATGTCTCCTTAGTTTATTCATAAGGATAGCCATAGTGCTTCTGGTAATCAAGTGAAGAGAGGCTGTGTGAAATTATGTAACTACCAAAAGACTATAAAGTCATGTTTATCATCACCAAGTAGTTAGCATTAAGGAAATAAGAGATCAGATTTATCTGTCCTCTCTCCTAGAACCTGCATTGCTAGTTCTCTTAATATTTTACATTTAAAATAATCTTAATATTCACAAAAATATTACTGTATCATGTAATGGGTATTGATGCTGGTTTTGAGACTTTATGCATTTTTCAAGTATCTTTGTAGAAGAAAATAAAAACAACTGCCCTTTTTTGGATAGGTCAATAAATAATAGCCAGAGTTTGATTAAATCCAGTCATAAGCTGTGGCATTTAGATTAGGTGTTATCTGAAACTTGCATAGATTAATCGATTTTTAAAGATCTACACTGAATTGCACTATAGTGGATCCAATACTTTTAATTAACTGAAATGAAAGCAGTATCCAGCATTTATCTATGGCTTTGGAAATTGTTCTGCTGTTTGGTTGAACTACAGTTGTTCAGACTATTTGATGGAACCTGTTCAAACTGGCTCCTTAGGAATTAAGCTAATTTCAAGAGTCTTTAAAGCTCATATTAGTTTGGGTTAATTAAGATTTCTGTAGAAAAACTAATTTTATATTGGAAGAAATAAAATATGGTACTGAGAGTCACTTCTGGGGCCTATAAATCACCTAATTTTGTTGAACCACTATTTCTCCACCAACAATTCGAGTACAGCGATGCTTGACCTGAATATATTATATAGGGATTTGGGGAAGGAAAATTTGCTATGAATGAAATATTATTGAGCTTTCAGTAAAATTTTATTCAAGTTTTTAAAATAACGTGTGATAAATATAAGGTAATAAAATTGCTAATATTATTAATAAACCAACAGTTATAAATGTTATAATGTGCTCCCACAGTGCTTTGTACTACCTTTTCTGTATCAAGTAGCAGATTGTATTTTAATGAGTTGCTTATGTCTCTTTCTCCAACTAGACACTGATCTTGAAAGCAGGGGGTCTATTTGTCTTCATATTGAGTCCGGTATAGATCCTGGCACATACAGTAATAGACTCAATAAATGTTCACTCTTGGATAAAATTATTTAATCATCTTATAAAAATTATTATCCTATTTTTCTTTTTTTTCTATTTTTCTTTTTTTGAGAGAGATGCTATTTAAAAATGTAATTTTCTGTGCCTGACAATATGTAAAGATAAATTTATAGGATATTCAATGCTTTTGAAAATGTAGGTTGGATTGAGAATTATATTAAGTCACAGTGATCTAGTGGAAGACTGAGGTTGCTGTTATATAGCAGGCAGGGAGGTGTCCAGGTATGATTGTAGGCTTTGCAGCCAGACAGACATGGATTTAATTTGTCACTTTCTAGGTAGGTGATCTGGGGCAAATGCCTTAATATCTTAATTACACTTATTTATATCTGAAATATAGATATCACCACTTCATAAACTAGTTGTCATGATTAAGTACAATCCTTAGTAAAGCAACTGTGTTATCATTGTTATGTCTAAGTATATTAGGCATTATGGTAGCTGTTGTTAAATAAGTTAACAATAGGATTCTTTTCAGGTGGAAAATGATTAAAAATGTGATTCTATTTCCAAAGACAAACTTTTCCAATTGAATAAGATTTTCTGATTTTCTTTTACTTTAATTTTCTGGAAATTAATTCTAAACGTTTGCAAATGTTAGGAAAGGTTGCATAGAATATATATTTCTCTTTGCTGATAAGGGATCTTGTACTATCAGAAGATTACAAGATAAAGCTAAATTGTTGGTTTTCATTCTAGCTCTTGTTAGTCCCTGTCACCAAACTACCACACAATTTGGAGCATTTGCCAGTGTTGGCTCAAGAGAGGCCAATCGAGACACTAATAGATGCATTTTCTCCATGAATACACCCTTGGATCACACATAGAATTCCTATTAACAGCAATGAGAGTTAAACTTGTAAATCCCTCATGCATTGGTGGGAGAATAGACCTTTTAGTTTACTTAGCCATCTTCCAGTTATTTGGCACTTTCCCCATCCCTTGTGAGTTCTCCAACATTTTCATTAAAGCCTTTTCTATTTTCTATTCTGCTTCATTCAGTTTGGGTTATAATTCATGTTGGCCTGATGCCTTGGCAGCAAGGAATGATTCTAATTGCCTCACTATCTATCTAGTCTGGCCTACTCATAAAGCCTTTCAACTTTTCATTCAAGCTTCCTGCAGTATCAACTTCATGGGTCACAAACTTCCCACTCGTATCCTTTCATTGCATCTTAGCTGCTTACCTCTTATGTATTTAAGAAACTCGAGAGAGTTCATCATTATTTCATTCCTTTTCTGTTATACCACCTTATCCTTTTTGAAAAATTAAAGCAGCACCACGGAAACTGAAGGTGGGAAGGACGACTTTTGTCCAGACATTGTATCAGAAGAGCTAGATACCCTCATTCACATTTACTTGAGTTAGCTGTCGTAAAGTGTTAGAAACTGGAAAAAACTTTTTATATATTCTTCTATATTTGCTCTGATACATCTTTCACTCTAGTCAGTTCCAATTCTTTGTCTACCCACTGAAATACTACCCACTAAAATTTTTCTTTTTGATCCTTGAAGATAGATGCAGTATGAAGTTCATAACGATAAACTGAAAACAAAGGATCTACTTTGAACTTGTGATTTTCTGGCAGATAAGGAGGCTGCTCTTGTACTCTGTATAGTATGGGTGTTCTGTTTGATTCTGTGTGGCATTGATTATTTTGAAGACTTTATGGGGAACTTTTTCATGTGATAAAAAAATGTAAACTGCTGCAAAAGATTTTAAAGAAAAGAGCTTGATACTAATGGAGTATGAAGTAGTTTTTACTTCTTTCTTTAAAAAAACTTAAAATTTAAAGTTTTTTTTTTTTTTTTTTTTTTTTTTAGGAATGGAGGTGGGGTTTATTTTAAAAGAAACAACTCCTTAAGAAACAATATTCTGCACTGGGAGGAGAGACATTAGGATACAAAATTACAAGTGTTTTAACTCTAGTCCTGTCCCAACTCCAAGAGCAGAGTAGAAGGAGAGAGTAGAAGCAAACAGGCAATTCTGTAAAATTACACTTAAAAACCCTAGAAATTTGATTAAAATCTAAACTTGTTTTGCTTTTGAAAAAATTTAATATATCAAAAGGCCTGTTTTAGTGACATGCTAGCCCCACCAGAATAGAACTCCTGTACCCTACCGTCAGGTGACATGCTCAAGTTGACCATCCAACTCACACTTCTAAATTCAGCTGTGGATAGGTATGCATGTATCTTTAAACCCAGCCACAAGGCTCTAACTGTCCAGTGTCCTCCTTCTACTGAAGGTGGGCAGGGCAGGGACAACCTTACTTGATAAGGAAGGACTAAGAGCCACATTAACCACTCCTACCCAAAAGGAGATCCTTATTTCTAAACCCAGTTTGGCACCTAGTGACCAGGATGATTTCCTCCTTTTAGAAAACCCCCACACATATCCACATACCCATATATACTTTTTTTGCTTTTACATTTATATATAAAAATACTACTCTTTGTGTTATAAATGGAGGACCAAGTGGTAAGGATCTTTTCTTCTTTGAAGGTAAGGATATCCATCAGTTTACTCAGCTTTGTGTTCACGAGATGGGGGTTGCTGTGTGGAGCCCCAATAGGGGAGCATTGCAGCAAGAAACCAATGGACATTCCTCCCTGATCCCCAACCGCTCTTCCTTCTCTAATTTCTACTTATATCTTTGAAAATAGAGCTTCCCATCAGAGAGATCTCCTCACTTAACCCAAATCAGGTCTTTCCCCTTTCAGCTACCCTGAAGAAGAAAAATCTCCTCCCCTGCTGTTTCACGCACACATCTGCTCCATCTGGATAGCTACATCTACTGGACAAGCACACTTGAGGGGGAAAGTGGTTAGTTTCCTTACCTGTGTCCCAACTAATGCATTAAAGTTTCTGTGATAGGGACAGAGGGGGTGAGTGGGTGTGAAAAGATTAAGAACTTGATCCCTCTTATCCTGGCCAAAGAAAGCAAGATTAACTGAGCATGAGGAATAAAAAGACCTTGATATTACACCCTTTGAGTTACAGTGGGGACAAATAGGACAACTGAAACATGGGGAAGAGCTGGAGGAAGGCAGAGAACTAGGAGGGGCTCGACAGCTGCAAGTGTAGTCCACTTAGTTTTTGTACTGGAAGGGCTCATCGCCAGTCTCATTGAGAAGACATGTGCGGATGAGGGCTTTTGTCACAGCAAAGGGGTCACAATTGGCAGAAGGGTGACGGTCTTCAAAGTAACCCTTCTCCTGGCCAACAGTCTGAGGAATGTGGATGCTGTCGCTACGGTTGGCTACACCAGCAGAAAAGTCGTTGATGTTGGAGGTTTCATGGAATCCAGTTAGGCGCCGGGCATTGTCCAGGCCCCCTTTGGGATCATAGGCATGAATGTGGTACTGGTGCCACTTGCTTAGTTTCTCGATAGCCTCCTCAATGTATTTCAGACCATTCTCTTCCCTCATGGCTTTTGTGCTGAAGTTGGTGTGGCAGCCAGCACCACTCCATTTCCCTGGAATGAGATTAGGATCAAAGGTTGTTATCACTCCCAAGTCTTCACATACACGATGCAAGATGAAATGGGCCACCGACAGATGGTCTCCCATGGAGATTCCTTCACAGGGTCCTACTTGGAATTCCCACTGGGCAGGCATGACTTCAGCATTCGTCCCTGTAATCTTGACTCCTGCGTACAAGCAGGCCCGATAATGAGCCTCCACAATATCTCTGCCATAGACTTTGTCTGCTCCCACACCACAGTAATATGGACCTTGGGGCCCAGGAAAGCTGTTGGAAGGCCAACCAAAGGGGTGGCCATCGGTCCTCATCAGAGTATATTCCTGCTCCATTCCGAACCAGGGGTGCTGGTTGCATACCATGTCCATTATCCATTTACAGGTGTGTCTTAAATTTGTCTCTGCAAGCTTCTGGTTATACTTGAAAACTTCACAGAACACTAGTTTATTGGGGTCTTTGCGAAAGGGGTCCTGAAACATGGCAACAGGGATAAGGTACATGTCACTGTTGGAGCCTTCAGACTGGAAAGTGCTAGACCCATCAAAATTCCACTCAGGCAACTCTTCTACACACTTGGGCTCACAGTCCAAGGTGCGAGTCTTGCAGCGCAGCCCTTCTCCAGTACCATCAGTCCAGATATACATGGCTTGGACTTTGTCGCCCTGAGGCAGGGACATGTATACCTGCTTGATGCCTTTGTTCAAGTGGGGACTTGCTGAGATGGCCATAGTGGAAGATGTTCCGGGCGGTGAGCAGGAGCACAGCAGCCACAAGAACGAGGTGAGGGAAGTGAGGCTGATGTTTTGCTCACAATCCCTGCGCTTCTCTCATTCTCCGCTCTGCAGGCTCAACATTTAAAGTTTTTAATTAAAAATTCAAGCATTATATAATAGTACTATAACAAGCACCCATTTATCTATCAAGAGTTGGGGCTTTATCAGGTTAGACTTTTGTGGCAACACTATTTTCTAGGTGATATTGTAGACTTCTTTTATATTTGATTGTCTCTCCCTGTCAACCAAGAGACACAATCTCTCTTTTTGTCCCTATCAGTCAAGATGGTTACAAACTATTGCTTCCTTAGACCTTTCAAAAAGATTTAAAAAATTCAACTATTTGTTTATTTATTATCTAGAATACTTATAAAAGTTATTACCCTCTTTATTTGGTTACAACAAGGTAAATTAATCCTTTTTCTTTATTTGCCAATTTTCAAAATAATGAGTTAGTTCCCCAATATTTTCCAAAGTTGACTAGTGAGTTATTTTCATTTATCTATTTTTTTGGGTACCGGGGATCAAACTCAGGACCTTGTGCTTGCAAGGCAGGCACAGTGCCACTGAGCTAAATCCCTGGCCCTATTTCATTTATCTTATAAACTCATATATTTAAACATATTTGATGTGTCTAATCTATTGTAGTTATTATCAAAGTGTTCCATCTCTGGCCCATGATTGCCCGTTCAGTGTAAGTCTTGACTTCTTTTGAAAGGGCTTTCACTAGTCTCTAACGGCTTTCTTTCCTTTCTTGTATAACAAGATGTTTTTTAGCATCATCGTGGATTCTAAGTGGTTCATTTTTCACTTCTCACATATTCTGTAATGAGCTCTACTTCTCTGGAAATTAGAAGTTACAGTCTGGATGCTAAAGGTTATCACTGCTATTGGTCTGCTCCTTTAAGAAACTGTGCCAGAAATTGTTTGTTTTGTGGTGTTGGGGATTGAACCTGGAGCCTCCTACATGCTAGGCAAGTGCTCAACTGCTGAGCTTTGTCCACGGCCCTTGTGCTGAGAATTGTGCACACATACACAAAAATGTAGTAAGATTGTAAACTAAAATGCTTCGTGGGTTTGCACTAATACTTCTGATTCTGATGTAGGACTCTAGAGTTTTTATTTAGCCATCTTAATCTTAAATTTGTATTCTCTTTCTCTCATGCTGAAAATCCTTATGTCCTTCTTCAGCAATCTAATTATTGATTTGTGTTTCTCCATAATATACTCAAAAAAGTTGTATGCTAACAATACCAACAATAGTATCAAAATATGACCGCTGGAAACAGTTAAATATTTCTGTGTAGTTCTTTTCAACCCTAAGATACCCATTAAGTATGTATAGTCAAATTACTGTATTTTAAAGGAATGTGGAATGTGGAATATTTCTTTGTAGCTATGCCATCAACTGGTGTGACCTTCTTAAATGTCCATGTCTTAATCCCTGGAACCTGTGAATTTGTTACCTTACATGGGAAAAGAGATTCTGAAAATATAGTCAAAGGCTTGAGTAGGAATATTTTCCTAGATTTCTCAAGTAGGTTCGGTGTAATCCTAAGAATCCTTAAAAGTGCAAGGAGGCAGTAGAGCAAGCTGTTGGAGTGATGTGATATGAAGGTTCAACCCACCATGCTGGCTTTGGAGATGGAAAGGGGACCATTGATAATACCTGGTGTTGTTTCTCCATAACCAGAATACACAGGTCTGGCAATGAAGGGCTTGAAAACAAGGTGAACCTTGTGCTTATTGCTCACAGCTCCATTGAATGACCCATTTCCAAAAACTTTACTGTGTTTATGAGGTGTGGTCAACATACATAGTGAATGTTTAAATTAAAAAAATTTCTGCAGGGTGTGGTGGTACACACCTGTAATCCCAGAACATGGGAGGCTGAGGCTAGAGAATCACCACAAGGCCAGCCCAGGCTACATGGTGAGTTTAATGCCAGCCTGAACTACATAGTGAAACCCTGTCTCAAAAAAGCAAAACAAAACAAAACAAGAACAACAACAAAAAACTACAAAACAAATTTCTTATAGTAATAGACACATTGCCATTACTTCCTCTGAAAATATTCTCTCTCACTTTGAGCACACTTATCTCATTATTCTTGCCACTATCTGAAGCAGTTCTGGATGTGCATTTTCCTTATTTTAAAAAGTATGATAAAAATATGGTGAATGCTGCTGTGAAGTGCCATCCAATGGAAAGGCAGGCTCATAAAAACATTATGGTGTGTCCTCATCCCTCTTATTCACCAGATCTGGAGCCATGTGACTTCTTGCTCTTTCTCAAAGTAAAAATGACTATGAAATGTAAATATTTTGAATAGATACAGCACATCAAGGCAGCCGTAAGAGTGCAACTAAAGACACTCATGAAAGAATACCTCCAGAATGGCTTCGGAAAATAGCAAGAATGATGGGATAAGTGTGTTCTAAGCAAGGGGGAGTATTTTGGGGAGGATTAATGGCATTATATCTTTTATTGTAATATATATATATTTAAAATTTTAAACTTTCATTTTGTGTTTTGATCACACTTCATATAATTCCAAGATTTGGTAGTAAGGGAGCTTTAGGGATAGGGCTAGCAATCATCTGACTTCACATTTAGCAGCATTAGTTGATAATTAAAAAATATTATTGATGGAATGAATGGCTAAATCATGGAAGCTGTCTGTAGATCCATCGATGGATGCATGGTTAAAGAAAATGTGGTATTTATTTACAATGGAGTATTACTTTGACATAATGAAGGATAAATTTGAGTCATTTGTAGGGAAATGGATACACCTGAGGCCATAATGTTACGTGAAATAAATCAGACACATAAGTTAAGTGTAGCATAACTTCTCTTATCTGAGAAACTCAAGGTGTAAATAATTTAAAGAGCAAAAGAAAAGATAGAAAAGATAGAGATAGATCTTTGGTAAATAGGAAGGGGATCTTGAGATGGAGCAATGCAGAGGAAAGAGTAGGGAAGGGGAATAAAAATAATTAAGATACATTATGTAGTATCTACTCCCCACAATAAATGTAATCATTATGTACTATACGTGTGTTGGTAAAACAATAAAAAAAATTGATGGGTTTGAGTAATGGTCAGTGAGTTCAGAATCTTTCCCTTGCAGTTTTAAGTATTTCTAACAGATAACCTTCAGGCTCCATGTATGACTTCCAACATTTTTCTCTTCAGTTCATCAGATATTTTCAGTGTGAGTGTTGTAGGACACTTATCATGCAGTGGGGCCTCTGCTTCTGTGCCTTCATTGTGTGAGTTGGCTAAATGCAGGGTAGAAGTATATCTTTTTTTATTAGAATTTGTTTGCAATACATAATAACCACATTGATCTTGGGGTATTGGTATGTATATGTAGTGCATCTTAATAATTTTTACTCCCCCTTCTCCTCCCTCTTCTCCTGTTTCTCCCCATCCAAAAATCCCCTTTCCATGCCCACAATTCAATCTCCCTTTTTCTTATCATCTAGCTTTTATTTTACTCTTTATTTATATTTTGAGGTTTTATGTAAAAGAAACCATGTGTTATTTAACCTTCTATGTGTGATTTATTCACTTAACCTTATGGTCTCAAGGTACATCCATTTTCCTACAAATGACTCAAATTTATCCTTCTTTATGGCAGAGTAGTGCTCCATGCATATATCCCATAGTGCATATATCCCATTTTTCTTTTATCCATTCATCTATTGATGGACCTGTAAGTTTTAGCTATTACAAATTGTGCTGCTATTAAACACAGGCATGCATCTATCACTGTAATACATCTTTAACTTTTTCAGGAAAATACCCAGAAGAGTTAAAGCTGAGTCAAATCAATTTCTATTTTTAGTTTTTTTGTGAGGAAGCTTGTTATGATTTAGATCAAGAATATCCCCCAAAGGCCTCGTGTATTCAAAGGTAGGGTCTGCTCAGACTAGGCAGGTCACTGGGGTGTGAACTGGAAGGATATTCTCCCTTCCCAGCTCCTTGTCTCCTTGGGCTGCAGTGTTTTGTAGTTTTCAGAGATGTCTTGAGCATATATTAAAATTGTTCTCATAATTCTTTTGTAAATGATATTGGTTTTAAAATCTCATTTTCTAGTTATTTCAAGTAGAGAATAAAACTATTACCTCTAACCTTTTATATAGTTTTATTAAATTCACTTATTGGCCCTAGTTGCTTTATTTTTTTAAAGATGACAGAATTTTTTATATTTATGGTTATTACAATGGCAAAAATTATGTTTTCACTTTTTAATAGTCTATATATCTTTTGTTTTTTTGTCTGATTATACTTGCAAGGATCTCAGTATTATATATAAAAAAATGAGATCAGAAACCTTACTTTCTTCCTAATCTTGGGAGAAAAGCATCTAAACTTTCATTATAAAATAAAGTTAATTACTGTAAATTTTTTGTAATATTATTTAATAGTCAGATGAAGAAGCTTTCTCCTATTTTGCTGAGATTTTTAAAAAATCATGAATGGATAATGAATTTTGTCAAGTACTTTTTATGCATCTATTGAGATGACCATACACTTTTCTTCTTTATTTTGCTAATGTGATGTATTACATTAATTAATTAATTAATTGTTATTATTGTTTTTGGTACCAGAGATCAAACTCAGGACCTTGTGCTTGTGAGGCAGGTGGTGGAACCACTGAGCTACATCCCCACCCACATTAATTTATTTTTAAATATTAAACTAATCTTGCATCTTTGGGATAATTATGCTCTTACCTTTATTTCATATTTCTGATTTCAGTTTAGTATTCTGGTAACATACAACATTCTTTTGGGGAAGATAACCAGCAGGGAAATAGCTGGGTCAAATGGGACTCTCAGTCCTAGTTCTTTGAGGTATCTCCACACTGATTTCCACAGTGTTCATTATTATTTCTTTATCGTCTGTATTATCCATAATTACCTTTTCCCATTTCTCATATTGATAAAGAATATTTTCTCTCCTTTTTTCAGTCTTAATG